TTGAATTAAAAAAAAAAAAAAAAACAAAATCGAATCGAATATTTCGCTTTGTTTACAAGACGAGTACTTTTCATCGTGTAATTTTGGGTAAATTTCTCGAAACAATTTTTCGAAATAATTCTCATATGTATAAAACTTGTAATCCTTCTCAATTCTTGTTAATGTGCTCTCATTCACTGACTATTATCCTTATTTTTCATTTTCTTATACCACATCTTTATTTTCATTGCTATTTTTCTTTTCTCTATCAATTTCTTAATAAATAGAAATATTTTCATTATTTAATAACGAAAAATCAAATTCATTTTCGAACTAATTTCATTATCGTATTTCATTCACTCGAAAACTTTGAAAATGATATTCTCATTGCTCGAAAATGCGGATCCGACCCGCGATCTAATTTGAGATAAGAAAATCTACCTATCCGATACGATATTCTAAAAAAAAATCGATCAAATAAATATCGTCTCCGTTCGAATCGAAATGGTGGCCAAGAATCGCCTCTAAGAGAGTTATCGCATCGTACCACGTGACAGTCACCGATCGAGTGCAAATGAAACAAGGCAACGATAAAAATTCGTATCCCCGTTAATACTTGAGAATCGCGCGAAAATAATTCCCGATCAGGGAATTAAGATTAATCTGAAATTAATCGTTGAATTGGTATCCCTTTGTTTAACCCTTGCGCATCGATCGAGACCGCGCAAGGATCGAAAACGCGGGCGTAAAAGGAAGGCCGATGGGGTAACGTCGTTAGTTTCCGGTTGGTCGTACGCACTTCCATCCCAGTCCCAAGCGGCAACCCCTCGCGATGCACGGGAGTCCCGCGCGCTGTCTAATGAGGCTCGACACCCGCCCACCCTCCCCTCCCCCATCCTACCGCACCGCGCCATAAACTTCGACGTTCGAACTGTTGAACGTTGCACGTACACACGGCCAGCGGCCGAGCATCTCTCCTACCTTTTTTCTTTATCTCCTTCTCCCCACTCCTTTCCCTCGTTACTCGCTTCGCGTTTTACCACCACCACCGCTACCGCTTCCCCCTCTCCTGAAACGAAGTTGCGCAACTTGGGATACGTATTGCGCAACGATAAATAGATTAACGGTGGAGAGATTAGTTTTCTTTCTGTTTTCTGGGTCATAGTCTCGTTTAAATCGAGATGAAAATAATTACGATGGAAAGATGGAAAGATTTTACGGTACACTTGCGGTATAATATAATAACGATAATAGAGATACGAGAGGCGGGGATATAGAGAGGGAAAGGAAATATTTACATTTTATTACTCGATCGAAAAACATCGTTACGATTAATTTAACTCGAGGATTAAAACAGCGGAAAGTAAAATATTCGAGTCTCGAGTGCGATTCTCATCAACAGAGGTGGTTGAGGTCTCGACAAACCGTTTAATTGCTCGTACGATCGCGAAATCGTGCGAGTTATTTATCGATATAGAGAGTCGCCTCTAAGAGAGGCATCGTAAACAAACAAGGATGAAACAAGGACAACGATAAAAATTCGTATCCCCGTTAATACTTATATATACTTCGAATTACTATATATATATATATATATATATATTATTTCCAATATATTTAATTTATTTAATATTCTATTTAATTTTATCAATTACGAAACCGTATATATAATAATCGAATTAAACAATTTATATAATAATAATAGAAAATATAATATATAAAAATAATAGAAAAACGAAGAATGGAAGAGGAAAGGTAAAGAAAACGAGGTTGGAATTTGATTCCCATAACAGTAGCGCATACATCGGTATGGGGGTTTTCTGGTATGGTGTCAGGGGTTCGCGTCTGACAGTGATCGAGAACCGCGATGCTATCTTCGCGGCTCGATAACGACCAGCGGAAGTATCGCTTTAATCACTATATCCGAACCCCGTTCCCTTGCCACGCCACTGGATCGTTTCTAACCTTCTCCACCCCTTACCTCTCTTTACCGCGCTTCTTTTCTAAACTTACGCGATTATCATTTACCAGTACCAATGTACGTGTATATAATAATACAGAAGAATAAAATTTTTAAAAATTAACTCTAAAAGAAAGGTCGTGATCCAAATGGAATTAAACATCGATTAAAATATTCATATACAAGTTTATGTACGAATATTTTCGAGGGAAAAAAGTTTTGTCGACGCGGGAACTAGGATACAAACGCGCGTTAATTTCATAGAACGTGGAAGAAGGTAGAGGAGGGACAGGGAAGAGAAGGAGGTGGAGGAGGCACCATAAGGTCTGGTAGGCCCCTTTTGCTATCGATCTGTCCCCACTCGCGGCGATTCTACGCTCTGGTGTGCCACACCATGCATCCCCATGGAACACTATATTGTTCCCACTCGGTCGCCCGCTCGTTCATAGTGTAGGTGAACGTGTTTCTCCTCTGTATTTATGCGTTTTCGCGCATGAGTGTGCGCACATGCATTCTACCCACCACTTGGCTTACGTATTCGTGCGTATATGTATATATATATATATATTAACACGGTGGTATTTGTTTCCATGGGTAGAAAGCAAGGACCTCCTCTCACACCTGCCTTTAACGACACCGTTACGTCACGAGCAATGCAACACCACCCATGCCAACACCACCGCTGTAATCATCTACCGGATACGTATCCGGATGTGTACACGCAGTGTATTACGTTTTATTAAAATGTTTTATTATCGTCTCGATATTAGTAGTATTTTAACGAAGAAGAAACGGGTACGNTAGTAGTATTTTAACGAAGAAGAAACGGGTACGAGATTAAAAAAAAAAAAAAATATGAATTGTTTGCACGATCTTTGATCGATTTTTAAGGATCGACGCTCGATCCATCTGTCGTGCCTTGTATTCCTTCCCTTCTGACGTGGACATATGGTTATTCTCTATTTTTCAGACCGTTGTACGTGCGCGCGAAAAGTAAAAAGAGACAGGGAAGAGAATATATTCGAAAGAGGGAGATGGATATAATACGGATATAAACGAAGATGGTAGGGAATATTGGTCAGCGGTGAAAGACGGGAGGAGCAACGGTATAACGGAGAAGAGAAGCTTCCCCGAGAAAGATTAATATCTCTATCGGAAAAGTTCAGGAGAGCAGGCCATTTATCCTACCTACGCGCCCTGTTCCATTTCTTCCTCTTCTCCTTTCCCTTCTTTCTCGACAAATTTTACAAAGT